TATTATTATTATTATTATTATTATTATTATTATTATTATTATTATTATTATTATTATTAATGTTCTGATGCTAAGAAGTTCTACTCCCCCTCCCCACCTGGAAAAAAATCTGTTCCAAATGCAAAACACAAGCAGAGGAGAGAAGTTTTAGTTTTAGTTTCAGAGCAGCAAGCAGCTTTAGTACAGAACAGCTGAGCTAAGGCTCCTTGCTGTCTCCTTGCTCATATAGCAAATACTCTTTCAGTTTCCAAAGAGCCCTCAATTCTCTCATACATTGACAGCACGCTAACCAGATGAATACCGATGGATCCTGGTAGGCAGAGGCAGAATTCCCCCCTTTATTTTCCTCTCAAAAAACTAAGCCTGATCACACAGTTTCGTACTGAAGCACGGGTATAGAGCTAGTTGTTTATATTTAGTTTATTAGAAAATTTATATTGCTGCCTGTTATGACTCGATCACATATGGCAACTCAAGGCAGCTTTTTCTTTTTTTTTTTTTTTTAAACAAGTTTTATTGATTTTACAAACAAACAAACAAGACAAAACATCATTAAACATTAAAACATAAAACCTCTTTCCATTGTAGATCCTTACAAGGCAGGTAACATATTGCTTTATATCACATACTTATAATTTATCCCATTTCCATATAAACACGTAAATTCCCTTTACCAAATTCCACATTGTTTCTCTTTAATCATTATGCAATCATATTTCCTTTCTGATTTATCTGCTATCCAGTCATCAACTTTATATTTCCCTCTGACTTGTTTATAATTATTCTCATCTAGTCTTCTTCCGAGATTTTATTATTTAACTTTCAATTAAACACACACACATAAAACACAGACATAAAAAACATAAAACTTTCTTCTAGAAAGTAACTTGGCCCCAGATTACCTCTTTTTGTATGGACTCAGTTGTATTCACGCTTTTCTTATATACCATTACCCATCTTATTTACCATTCTATATCTATTATATAACTCCTCTCCACTTTTACCTCATCTCAGTTCTGTTTTATATATTTAATCTTGCTTTTTAAAAAAAAAATAAAATAAAATATTTTTATATCTTTTGTCCATTTCTCCATTTACATCTGTCTCATTTCCAGTTTAAAAAAGAATAGTTTCCCCTGGAATCACTAATCGGAGTATGATGCCTTTCTATCATTCCCCTAAGCTAAAATTTAAAATAACACCTAAATCCCAATCAGATTCTGCTTAGTACATTCTACTATTTCAAAAACCAATACTACAATAATAAATCCATAACAATCAACACATCAATCCATTAAACTCTATATTCAAACTAATATTTTAAACATTCCCTTTAGTATTTTATTGAAACTTATTATCATTCATTATTAAACCTTTTAAAGTTATACCTTGATATTTTAGTCTTTTATTAAATCTTAAAAAGTTCTGGTTATCTACTTATAATACAAATACCACTATTACGATACTCATGTGTACTTTGCAGAATCCCCCCCTTTTTTAAAAAAAAACAAAACCATATATTACCCATTATCCCTGAAAAAAATTTCTTTAACTCCATCTTGTCTTATATCTTTAAAACTTTTTTCCCCCTTTTCCCTTTCCCCCTTAGCCCACCTAAACTTTTTACCCCCTCCTCTCAAAACCTCTGTCTTCTTAATTTCCCCTTTCTGCATTCCTCTTTTCTTTTGCTTTCTAACATTCTGTTGTTTTTGCATCTTCTTTTTCTCTTTCATGAATATTTTTTTATTTCTTAAGTCCTTCCTTTTCGCTCCTCTCTTTCTCCTTTCTTTCTTAGTCATGCAGTTTAGTTCATTAAAAATGGCTTCTTCTTCCTCAATTTCTTCAAGCTGTTGTTTAATTTGCTGACACATAGCAAGCGCCATATCTAGGAAACAAAGGGCTTCTCCCATAACATCTTCGCCTTCTTTCTTTGTTTTTAGATATTGTTTTTTTAGTTCATCAAGAGATAGAGCCATTTTAAAGTTTCTTCTTCTCTTTCTGTATCCTCTTCTTAAACCAATCAGTTATTTCAAGGCTTAAAACAGTTCCCAAACGTCCCAAAGTCCCACAGTCATCAAACAGTCCAGGCAGAGTAAAAGCTTCTTCTTTTTACAGTTTCTCTTCTAGGGGTGAAGTCAAATTAGGGAAAGAAAATTCTCTTTATCTTCAAGGCATCTCCTCCAGCAAAGTCTTAGAGTAAAAAATTGATTTACGCAAGCCTCTCCCTTCCCACGTATAACAAAGGATTTTAGGTTTTACCTTCTACCAAAAGGCTGGTTTCCCTTTTCCATTTGTTAATTCCATAAGGGAGGGAGAGTAACTTCCCCTGTTCGTCACTTTTCTTCGCAGCTAAAGACATCAATCAGGAACAATAGCTTCCAAGTCATTACTTTCCCAGGTGTTAAATATATCCTTAAGGTCCCAGTTCGACCAAGAAAAAACTTTCTTTAAAAAAAAAAGAAAACTCCTTCTCCCTCCTGCGCATTCTTTATCCAATTGCCGGCTTCTTTATGGTGGCCATAAAAGACCACCGCTGGAACCGTCTTGAGAAAAGGGGGTTATTGCCGGCTGGAGGGGGGGGGTTGCGATGCCCCACACCCCCATCCGGATCCCCCCTCTCTCCAGCTGCCCCAAAGGGCAGCCTTAGCCTCCAAATCTGTCAGGATCGGAGGCACCAAGGCGGCTAGCACAGCAGGAATCGCAGAGAAGGCGAATCCCTGCTGTTAGCAAAGCCGACAACCGGAAGTCTGAAGGCAGCTTTTTCTTCTTCTGCCATATTTTTTTCCCAAACGCCATCGCTCTGCTAAACAAATAATTCCCTCAACACTGTCCAACTATGTACAAATCTGCACTATTACTATTCATCTTCTCACTCCTTATCACCCATCCCCTCCCACTTGTGACTGTATGACTGTAACTTTGTCGCTTGTATCCTTACGATCTATACTGACTGTTTCCTAGTAGGATTTGATTGCTTATTGTACCCTCATGACTATTATTAAGTGTTGAACCTGATGATTCTTGACGCTTGACGAATGTATCTTTTCTTTTATGTGCACTGAGAGCATTTGCACCAAGACAAATTCCTTGTGTGTCCAATCACACTTGGCCAAAAAAGAATTGAATTGAACTGAATTGAATTCTATTCTATTCTATTCTATTCTATTCTATTCTATTCTATTCTATTCTATTCTATTCTAATTCTAATTCTAATTCTAATTCTAATTCTAATTTGTCATCGGATGTTGGCAATCATGTTGACAATCCTATTTTGATCAACAGCTGCATGACAAAGTGTTTTGTCCGAACCAGTCCCTTAGATTTTGAAGCCATAACATTCTTCCTCTCCCTGGACCTCATTTGCCTCCGATCTTTCCCTGGAGGATTAAGTGAAATATGACGTATTTTTCCGGGTGTGTCGCATCACAGGTCTGAAATATTCTAACACCTCACTTTTTAATGGCTTTGTTTATTTCCTTTGTCTGTCCTAGGTAGCTTATCACCTCCTCCTTTCTGATTTTGTCAACCCAGCTTATATGTAACAGCCGACTGTAAATCCACAAGGATATAATTCTATAATTCAGCCTGATTCTACAGTTGTGTTGAAATTCATTTTTTTTTTCTTCTCACTCATCGACACCAAGTACCCCGTAATTTTCCCACTCACCGTACATCTCGTCTTCCAGGCCGTGGACAAAAGCGCCGCAGGCTCCTGATTCAATGAGGTTCACGGCTCCCGTGTCTAGTTCTTCTTTTGGGGCGTCGTCCCCCCATTTCCTGCCGCTTGAGAACTCCCCGGAACTGTACAGCTCTTTAGCGCGTTCGTGAGCGGTGCGTTTGCGCTGTAGAGATCAAAAGGTCAGGGGGAGACAGGCGTTTTAATACCATTTCCCCGGAAAATAAGATCTATCCTGAAAATAAGCCCCAGCGTGTTTTTTTGCACATGTGCCTAACATAACCCCTACTTGAGAGCTTGCACAGCTGCCTGACTGACTGTTTTGTCTGGTTGCTTGCAGTGCCGTGGTGTAGAGCTGTAAGTGCAGGAATGTTCCTATCTTGGATGGCAAACCTCAGATAAAGAATGTTTACATGCAAATACAACTCAGGCAAACAAAGTCACTAATCTAAAGGAGGATTAGAGAGAGGAAGTAACCATATGTTAGACTTTAACTAGAGATAATTAATTGTGTTAATTACTATTATGCTAAACAGTAACAAAAGTTAAGCAGTAACCAAAGTTAACCAAGGTTGGAGGATTACTAAAAATGTATATAAATGCAAGACTAGACTCCAATAAAGTTCACCATGATTCAGTTGATCATGATCAAACACCTCGACTGCCTCGTCATTACAACACCATGGTAACAAGGCGAGGCACCCTGCAACAGCTTTTCTCAGGGCCACTGCAGCCAGGCCAGTAGAACAGGGGGAGGGTAAAGGAGAGCAGGGATAAGCAGGGCAGATTAAAATAGAGCAGAGGTAGAGCAGGGGTAGAGTAGGTAGGGTAGGGTAGGATAGAATAGCGTAGAATAGCATAGAGTAGAAGAGAGTAGGGGTAGAGTAGAATAGAGTTAAGAGTAGAGTTGCATAGAGTAGGGAATAGAGCAGGCATAGGATAGAGTAGTGGTAGGGATAGAGCAGGGATAGGATAGGGTAGGGTAGAGTAGAGTAGAGCAGAGTAGAGTTGGATAGTGTAGGGAATAGAGCAGGGATAGGGTAGAGTAGAGGTAGAGTAGAGTAGGGATAGAGCAGGGATAGGGTAGGGTAGGGTAGGGTAGAGTAGAGTAGAGTAGAGTAGAGTACAGTTGGATAGAGTAGGGAATAGAGCAGAGGTAGGGTAGAGGTAGAGGTAGAGTAGAGTAGGGATAGAGCAGGGATAGGATAGAGTAGAGGTAGAGTAGAGTAGGGATAGAGCAGGGATAGGATAGAGTAGAGTAGAGTAGAGTAGAGTAGAGTAGAGTGCAGGGGAGAGGAGAGATGGAGTAGGGGTGGGATACAGTAATAAAATAAAAGCAGAAAGCATTCAAAAGACTCAATTGTGCAACCTCCAGTCCCAGGAGTTGGGTATCCAGGTAATAAGCCCCAGCACAAAATGAAACAGAATACTGTACCCTCAAATCTGACATCAGCTTCTTGTCCAAGGTCTGCTCTAAAAAATGAGAACTAACTTGCTGCATAGATCCCTGGAAAACAGGCGGGGAAGGAAGCGCGTTCATCAGAATGACATTTTCATCCCAAGCACAAGGAAAGTTAAGACAATTATTAAAGTCCCGTCGGATACATGGGTTGAGAGCGTCAAGTCATTTCGAAGGGAGTGAGGCGAAGATCAGGACAATTTGGTGCTTCAAAACGGAGGTCTCCAAATTAGGGCGACTTTCAGATTTATGGCTTTCAACTCCCGGAATCCCCGGGGAAATTCTGGGAGTTGAAGCCCTGCTCTATGTTTACGGTAAGCCTTAAAGTTGCCAAGTTCAGAGAGCCCTTCCGTAGGATAACCCACTCTCCTATTTTAGATATTCAAACAGTGGGCAAAAAGGTTTAAAAAACAAGAGAAGAACAACTAAGAGGATTAGGCGACTGGAGGCTAAAACATATGAAGAAGGGTTGCTGGAACTGGGTAGGTCTAGTCTGATGAAAAGAAGGACTAGGGGTGGCATGATAGCAGCCTTCCAATATTTGAGGGGCTGCCCCCAAAGAAGAGGGAGTCAAGCTATTCTCCAAAGCACCGGAAGGCAGAACAAGAAGCAATGGGTGGAAACTCATCAAGGAGAGAAGCAACCTAGAACTAGGGAGAATACAACGCGCACAACCCCTCCCCATGCCCCCTGCGCATGCGCGCACAATGCCCCCCGCTGCCCCCTTACCTACACTGCGCCTCACAGCTGATTTTTCAGCTGGTTTGAGGCCTTTTGGGGGCCTCTCAGAGGCTTCTCAGGACAAATTATAGGCCTGTTTTGTCACTTTCCAGTGTTACAGGAAGTGATGAAATGGGCCTATCATTCGGCCTGAAAAGCCTCGCAGAGGCTTTTTCCAAGCCTCTCGGACGCCGAAAAAGGCCTCAAACCAACCGAAAAAAAAATCAGCTGTTGAGGGGCACGCATGCACAGTGAGGTAGGTTTGCCTGCAGCTTGCATGCCAGCGCAAATGGCTCTGCGAGCCACTTGCGGCATGCGTGCCACAGGTTCGCCATCATGGGTATAGGGTTTCCTGCCTAAGGAGGGGGTTGGACTGGAAGACCTCCCAAGGTCCCTTCTAGCTCTCTTTATTCTGTTTTGTTCTTCTGGTCGAATCACGATGTTCCAGTGTGGCAAATAATCTTTTTGCCCCATATAAATAAAAGAGACTCAACAATGGAATCTTTTTATTTTCGACCCCCCACTTCCTCCCTGGCTTCCTTTCACTCCTTTGAGCTTCAGGGTGAGGCTTTCTGGGGCTCAGCACAAAGGCAGATCGAACATAAAGAGAGAGAGAGAGAGAACAATTAAGCATCTTGGGTTTCATGGACCAGCTGGCAGTTTAGGGATGATCACCATGGCAACGGAAAAAAGGAGCAGAAACCTTCTTACCAACAGCTTCGCAGCCTGGACTCTCACAACCCAGGAGCCGTCGCTGACCATGTGACAGATCTTCCCGAAAGCATCGTCCACCAGCCGGATTTCTTCGTTGGAAGATGGGATGGGGACAATGCTAGAGAGAGAAAGAGAGAGAGAGAGAGAAGGAAGGATGGAGAGAGAGAGAGAGAGGGAGGGTGGGAAGGAGAGAGAAAGGGAGGGAGAGAAAGGGAGGGAGACCACACTGAAGGAATTACTACGGCAGGCGAGGATGATTAATTGCAGACTTCTACCAGATAAGCAGCCACCACAGTTGGGAGGAAGCCAAAACACAGATAAGCTCCGACAAGAATAATACACGTTTTGCTTCCAGCACTGGGCCATGCGCAGTTTGTTCTTTTAAACAGTCCTCACAGCTGCAGCCCATGAAGGGGATCAGGGCCCCTTCCTCCCACGCAGACTATGCCACTCACGTTTCTCCCTTCTCCGTTCCTCCCTGCGTGCCCTAGGATGAAGAGGGGATAGGCCTGGGTCTTCCTCTGACTGCCGAGCTGGCCAGTGCCCTTTTCCAGTTTCCTCCGCAACCTCCGGAGCCACACTCCCACGCCCTGTCGGCTGTTCCTTCTCTCCCTCGGAGTCAGACTCCAACAGGGGCATGACAATGTCTGTCTGTGGAGATTCTCAGTCCTCCAGGTCTTTATGGGAGGCAACTGGACTTTCTTGGTTTTTCTCTGAAGATGTTTCGCTTCTCATCTAAGAAGATTCTTCAGCTCTGATTAGATGGTGGGGAATGGAAGGATTGATGCTCCTTGCAGACAGCTGGTCATTTGCATCCTTTTAGGGAGTCAATGAGGCCACTTGGAGGTTGTCTGTGTCCTCAGGGTCACCTGAATGGTGCAAATGGGTGTGGAGCCTTCTTGGCTGCAGGATGTTTCCTGCCCCTGGTCCTTTTCACTGTTGAGGTGACCCTACTATTCAGGTGACCCTGAGGATACAGATAAACCTCCAAGTGGCCTCAACGACACTCTGAAAAGGATGCAAATGACCAGCTGTCTGCAAAGGAGTATAAATCCTTCCCTTCCTCACCATCCAGTCTGAGCTGAAGAAGCTCCTTGGATGAGAAGTGAAACAAATACAAAGAAAGGAAATACAAAGAAAGTCCAGTTACCTCTTAAAAAAAAAAAAGCACCTTTGGGACAACCACGACCTGGATGACAGAATTTCCATAGACGTCTTTCAAAGAAAAACCCAAAAGTCCAGTTGCCCCTTGAAAAAGCACCTACAAGATGTCTCGACTTCAACTCCCAGAATTCCCCTCCCAAAATGGCTTCTCCAAATCCTGCTTATAGGCAGGATTACATATCTCAAAGTTGGCTATCTGTCAGGATTCCGGCAGTTACTCCAATTAAATCATGAGCTTTGAGCCACACTCCCAAAACTGCAAAGGATTTATTGGAAGTTAACATGCCGGCATTAGCCTGGGCATAGCTGACTCTGAGATACGTAAATTCGCTGTCACCCTGGATCCTGTTTTCCCCACCACACCCTCTGGGTGTATCACTCAACAGAAAAAAAAAAAAAGTCCATAGCCAAGAGTCATCAATCATGCTCTCCAATTAGATTGTTTTGCAGATGAAGCTTCAGTCATCTAATCAGTCTTTGAAGAAAATATGAATGGAATGTACTTTCGATTCCACACTACCGCCCGCTCTTTGAAACTCCCCCGGCCTTCTTTCTGTTGACAACTATAAAAGGTGTGCACAAAATGTTTTATGAGTTGATACTTACAGGCTCTCATGCCTTCTGAACTACCGTATACCTTGCACGTACCTTTCTGCGTAAAGCTGGCTGAGGACCCAGGTGAGCTGCACTGCGACGCTCCGGACCTGTTCGTAATCATCCATTAAGAGTTTGCAAGCCTGTAACGGAAGATTCCCAGGAGATTATTAGTGGAGGTTATTAGTTATTAGGTGCTCTCTTACTGTTTTCTGCTTATTTTAACTTTGATTTCTGATCTGTCTTGTATAGTTAGGTTTCTGGTGGGTTGATCTATAGTTTCTTTTTGTGTTGAGTCTCTAGAAAAAGTGCAGAGAAGAGCAAGCAGGATGATTAGGGGACTGGAGGCTAAAACAGACAATGAACGGTTACAGGAACTGGGTTTGGCTAGTCTAGGGAAGAGAAGGACCAGGGGAGACATGATAGCGGTCTTCCAATATTTGAGGGGCTGCCACAGAGAGGAAGGGGTCAAGCTATTGTCCAAAGCACCTGAAGGCCATACAAGGAATAATGGATGGAAACTGAACAAGGAGAGATTTAACCTGGAAATAAGGAGAAACTTTCTGACAGTGAGAGAACAATCAACCCATGGAACAGAAGTTGCCCTCAGAAGTTGTGGGAGCTTCATCACTTGAGACTTTCAATAAGAGATTGGACTCCCATCTGTCAGAAATGGTGTAGGGTCTCCCGTGGGGGGGGTTGGACTAGATGACCTACAAGGTCCTTTCCAACTCTGATTATCTGTTATCTGACAGCCATTTCACCAAGAGTTCATTTGGGGACCGTTCAAAGCTATGATGTCACTGAAAATAGTGACCATTTTTCACACTTATGACCATTGCAGCATCCCCACGCTCGCATGATTGACATTCAACTCATATTTATGACGGTTGCAGTGTCCAGGGGTCACATGATCCTCTTTTGCGATCTTCTGACAAGCAAGCTCAATGAAGAAACCAGATTTACTTAACAGCCTCGACTTACAACTAGTAGTCCTCGACTTACAACTCCATCTTATATTAGATATTAATTTTAGAGTGTTTTCCACAATGATAATGGCAGACTTTAGGAGAAACCCTCCCATAGTATCACCTCTTACAATACTGGACAACACAGCATCAACAGTAGAGACCTTCAAATTTCTAGGTTCTATCATATCACAAGACCTAAAATGGACACCTAACATCAAAAACGTCATCAAAAAAGCAGAACAAAGAATGTTCTTTCTGCGCCAACTCAGGAAGCTCAAACTGCCCAAGGAGCTGCCGATCCAGTTCTACAGAGGAATTACGGAGTCTGTCATCTGCACCTCTATCACTGCCTGGTTCGGTTCTGCAACCCAACAGGACGGACACAGACTTCAGAGGAGAATTAGGACTGCAGAAAAAACAATGGCTACCAACCTGCCTTCCATGGAGGACCTACATCCTGCACGAGTCAAGGAGAGGGCTGTGGAAATATCTACAGACCCCTCACATCCTGGACACAAACTGCTTCAACTCCTTCCCTCAAAACAACAGTATAGAGCCCTGCACACCAGGACAACTAGACACAAGGACAGTTTTTCCCCGAACGCCATCACTCTGCTAAACAAATAATTCCCTCAACACTCTCCAACTATTTACAAAGCCTCTTATTAAAGACTGGAGAAGCTTGGGTGAATTCAGAGTTCTTTCTTTCTCTTTCTTTCTTTCTTTCTTTCTTTCTTTCTTTCTTTCTTTCTTTCTTTCTTTCTTT